AGACTTCTTCAGTGTCTGTTTTAGCCTTCAGGGTAGGATGTCGGCCTATACCACGGACGACTTTTCCTGTTTTGTTTGTGCTACAACTATTTCTTTTCGCTGCACCTAGACCTTCAGAATTCTTGGAAAATCTACTGCATTTTACGCATGCGCCGAAGATTTCATACTCCAATCCATTCTCGTCCCCAGAGCCTCCGTTTCTTTTGGTCACGTGGTCGGCGAAACGGAAGGTTCTGGTAGCAGCAATTACCGGATGTCAGTAGCCTGCAAAGCAGGCGTATTTTGGGGCGAGATCCTTGAATTGTTTCAGGATAACGTTGTCCCGCCATCTTGGACGTTAATACTACCAGAGAGTTGGGACGAGTCAAAAAGTGTTTTTAAGGGAGAGGTAGATGGTAGTCTTTTTGGTTGCTTTTCAAGATGGCGGCCACGATCAAAGTACCTCCGAGTTTTCGTTAAAAAACGTAAAAAACGCCTGCTCTGCAGGCTAGGATGTCAGTAAATTCCTGACATCCGGTGGCAGATGCGTAATCCTTACTAACTAATCTGCTCATGCTCAGAGACTAATCCTTGGGGAAGAATGCTCAAAAACTAATCCTGAGGGAGAGGAGAGAGGAATAGAGTGTTTTCTTCAGTTTAATAAACAGATCGAAGAAGTGATGACTTATATGCTTTCGCTTCGCTGAAGTTAGGTGATTTAGAGTTAAGAGGAGAGTAGAAAGCGGCCTTCAATGCCGTCGCCGTTTCAAATACGATTCCAAGCTTGTCTAATATTTTACCAGCGGCTTTCGTTGTGCATTTTCTGGTGAAGTCAGAAATCGATGTGTTCTTGTTGTTTGTTCTCTTTGCACTCGATAAAAAGGAAAGGTTTAAAGAGTGTGGAGACTATCGATGACACGGTAAAATTTGTTTATGAACACACGCAATGGGCTCCTGACACACGGAAACGTTTATGGAAATCAGCCGTGGAAATATTGAACTGACCAGAGGATTTAAATATAACCCGTGCTTGTAGATAAAAAGAGAATTTCCTATAGTGCTAAGAACTATTTACTTCCTGGTTAGACATAGGTTTTGTAAGGAGCAGCAGAGTAAAAATCTGTTGAACTCAGGAAAGTTTTGTTGTATTGGAGTTTTGCCCATCTTTCATTGCTGTAATAAATTAAAGGTGCTCACTTTCATATGATCTTTCGTGTCCTTCATAATTCCAATTTTTCAAATAACCCCATTCTGTTCATTCTTTTTTTTTACCAAAAAGGGTCTTATAAAATCAACAGATCATTAAATTGTCAAATTAAGTAAATCAATCAACTTTTATTGTGTACTATTTACAAAATTAATTTACATCAGTATTGTATTTGTACATTTAGCTAGGCTTAAGAAGAGCCTGCTCACTCAAGCTTCTGTGATTGGAGGCATTACAAAACTAGATATAAGGGTATTCCTACAATCTTGTTCCCCACCCTCATTTTATACCTTTCTATCAGCTTATATAAAGCTTAACCTTTGGCAGGGTACTTTCAACAACAATAACAACAATTTCTAATCAGTGTTCCCATATAAGTACATGGTATAACGTAATCTATAATAGAGCTAAAAATAATGTAACAAAAATTAGTATTTGGCATTGGTATACATGTACAGTGTAGACATGTCTGATGTGAAGATCAAAAGTGATTCTTATTGGTATGCCATGCATTATTAAAGATATTTTTTTAGAAACCTAGATGAAAAGGTTGAATGGGAAATAATGCAATGTCATTGCTCTCTTATAACTCATGTTACATCAGGGTGAAAAGGCTCTTTAGCATGTTGTATAACCATGTCCAACAACACATCTTGAACACACACTCTCTACTTCTCATGGTTGATCAGAACATCAACCACGTAGCTTTACTACCTAACAACGGTTCTATCTCCATCTCCATTTTTCACTATTATTTATTAAACTGCAAGTGCAGAATTATATGGTCATCCTTCCAGAAATTTATGCAGCACTGTTTTGGTCTGAAAATTAACAAAGAACAGTTAATAATGGTAAGAAATAAATAATCTTTTAAAGGCTATAAAACGATTATGATAGTTTTGTTATGACAGTATTAATGTAACTCTGTACATCTGGTATGCCTCAAATCTCAGCGTCAAAGCGTCAATGTGCACTAAATACATATCTAAATACATAAATACGTATCACGTATCTAACATTACGAATTTGAGCCTAAAAGGAATAAAACGTTGAACAATTAGTCACTTACCTTTGGAAAAGCCCGGGGGGGGGGGGGATTAATAAATATTATAATAGAACTATTCATTATGTCTCGAACAACAAACAGCACAACAAAAAAAAAAAATACAAAAACAAAAAAAAAAAAAAAAAAAAAAATAAAAATATAAAAAATAAAATAAAAAAAAGAAAAAAAAAAAAAATAGAGGAAAAAAAATTTTCCCTATGTTGGGGAGGAGGGGGGGGGGGGGGGGGGGGGGTACTCCCATAAAGTCCGGAAAGGTGTGTGCCGCGAAGGGTCTTAAACCCTCACGCAAATTAAGGATGAATCAAACGAAAATTGAGTCCCTATCTAAGGCCCAAACCCAAAAAATGACACCCTATGCAAGGGAAGAACAAAAGGGACAGAAACGTTGCATGACGATCCAAACAACGACTAACCGCCACGGAAAAACACAATCTTTTTAAAATCGCTTTGGTAATACTTTAACTTTGACAGATCATTTGTTTCTCGCTTAACTGGGTGTTTACACACCGCTATTTTTGCTGATACAATTTAGGCACCCTATCTAAGGATCACACCGGGACACTATGCCAACATAGGCGAAAAGGATACCCTATTTAAGGATCGAGAACCTCCAAAAACCATACCCTATCCCGCGACATATAGCCCATATAGGGGAGTACCCCCCCCCCCCGGGGGAAAAGTAACTTAAAATAGAAGCGGATCGTCCGTCCGATCGTTTAGACACCATTTTTGTACTCGAACCCTTCAAACCCCCCCCCCCCCCCCCCCCCCAACCACCCCACTTCCTACCCGTCCTTCTCTGCCAACTCACTGTGTTTGTGTCTATAACAACACAAATAAAATGAATGTAACACAGAAATAGAGGATACGTCGTTTTTCTTGTGTTTGCGTGGGCCTTCATATCAAAAGAACTAAATGTACAACTTCCCCCTCTCCAGTGAGGTGCAAATTCTATCTGTTTTTTTCTTCGTTTCCGAACATTTTTGTATAATATTTTTTTCTCTCCACAATACTAAAATAATTAAACATGGGAAGGGCACACAAACTCCCTTCACACCGGAAAACTAAGGAACAACACGCGACACTCTGCCAAAACAGGGGAAAAAGAAGCCCCTATGTAGGGCCGACAACCCCCAAAAACCCAACCCCCCCCCCCCGCAAAAAACCCCAAAAGGGGGGTCCCCCCCCCCCCCCGGTGGAAAAGGAACTTAAAATAAAAGCGGATCGTCCGTCTTATCGTTTAAACCCCATTTTTGGACTCGAACCCTTCGGCCCCCCCCCCCCCAATCCTACGCGCCTGAATACCCCGTTTTCTAGTCAGTGTAACTATATTTGGTAGTGTGAAGACAAATAAATCTTACAAAACGGGCTTCGTAACTGTAGGATAACCGAGATGCAGTTCCAACTTGACTGGAAAGGGAAATGTGTTAATCTGAGTTGTTTGGTGCACAGGCCCCACGGACTAAGAGGATAACGTCCTTATCCCTATTTGCTGTTGTATTTGCATATACGTTGTTTTGTTAAGATATTCTAGCAATTCTTCTCAATGTTGCCCTCCAGGAAACGGATCTCTAGACAGCATATTTGTCTGTAACTTTGACTTAGAATAGGAAATGCAAAAGGTTAGCCACTTGAGCCAGCGAGAACATCGTTTCGGTGCTCAGAAAACGAAGATTTCAGCTGCGAACTTGTGATTTTTTTCCTAAATAAGTTGACTTCTTTGACATTATGTACTGGGGCGTACTGCTACAGTCGAGCTTTTCTGTGAAGGTAATACTATTTTATCACAGCAGCCAAGATTTCAAGGAAAAGATGTTCGAGTCTCTCGTTGCCTCGATTCTCAATGGAATTCTCGGAAAATACATCAGGGATTTGGACAGCTCGAATCTCAATGTTGGGATTTTGAAAGGTGAGTAAACACATGATTTATATCGAATACACTCATCAGATACAAATAAAAGTAAAAACAAGTCAAGTATTTATTTAAGTAATAGGTGTCTCCTATAGCAGACATCCCTTTTCCTTTTCCTCAACCACCCCTTTTGACATCTACCACACTGGCTAGGACTTTGAGTAATAACCAGCAATATTAATATTATTTTATTGGCCCTTACTAGTTGTGATTTCAAGACAAAATATTTTGTTTGATATTTTGCTTATCCCCCGATTGAAGGCCTAAATATATGTACAGGCAGAATCCACTCAATTTTTAAACCCTCACGATTCTGCCATAATATTATAACAAGATGTACAGAGCTGTGTTCTTGACAACTCACCTTCAAATTATTGTCCTTTAACTCTACTTCAATATAATATGGTTCACGGTATCTTGCTGTTGGTTGAAAAAAAGAATTACTTACAACTTGAATTTCAAGTGATCAAAATTGGTGATCTTCTGACTTGTACAACAAGAAAACCAAAATAACAACTAAGGGGGTTGGAGGTAAATGGTAATTGTAAAGAAGTGGTCAAGGGGAGCTTGAAAAAAGAATGAATGTATGAATATTATGATCTGTTTATCGGGACAAAAAGAGGCTGTTTGATAAAGAGGTGGCCTCTAGGTCGAGCTTGAGGATTTTTTGTATCTGACAAAAACAGGACATTCGAAGTATCCAGAGAAACAATGTATAGATAATTAGGGAGGGAGAATCCTAGAATTATTAGCAAATTGCTAAGAATATGCACCAACTTCATATTTCAACTTATAGTTAAAAAATGTTTCGCATCGAAAACAAGTCCTTTTGGCTTCCTGGGAAGCTACTGAGATGCGTGTCAGTCTGTAGGTGTCACACAGGTCAGTAAGCTGAAAGCAGAAAAGCATTGCCTTAAAATATTTGAGTATAATGATTCTAAAGAATACTGAATATGTCACTTAAATACTTAAAGAGAAAGAATAGCTTAAAAATCGGGTAAACTAAAACCTCCAATAGTTATTTTAAGTATTATAAAGTGAGATGTTCCTCGTACCTTATGTTTTTGTAACATTCTCACAGCTGTGATGATAGCCTATAAATATACATAATATTGTCAACTGTAGGACACGTGGTGGTTTAGTAGTGGTTATTAATAATGTATACAACTTTGGATTTGGGGGTGATCTGAGTTCAAGCCTTGGCCATGGATACATGTACCATTGTGAAGTTTAAATACACAAGATGGCATATTAAGACAGGGTTTTCAATCAGGGCTAGGGCCCAGGGATTTCCCATGACTACTACAGGTATGATCCTTGGCTAAAGTAATAGCCATGAACATGCAATCTTGGTGACAGCCCTGCTAAGGTAACTGATATTTACAGCGCTTGAATAAAAAAAAAACTGCCCACATGTAGTACAAATTTCATCAGTACATTATTAAAATTATTATTTATGTCACAGTGGCACCTAATTTTTGCAATTTGATGACAATTTTCAAAACAAAACATAACTTTTAGCTACCCCAAAATGATAGTTTTTCATCTACATCAAAATTTCTGTAATACTTTCAATAACATTTTCTTGTCAATATGATGTTATTTCTGTAGATTATAATATTTACTACCTTAGTAAAGCACTGAGGTTTTTTCCCTTAGTTATCTGTAAAATTAATATTGTCACCAGTACACATGAAACACTTTCTCATTTACCATTCACAATCAGCTATATAGTACTTACCTTATTACTGGTGCCTGTGACAATGTCCTTCCTTGAACACTGATCTTAAACAAAGTTAAGCCAAGCACAAAAATAATCAATATAAAAAAACAGAGGGAATAGCACTTTAAGGACAGTCATTGTTAGACAAATTGACACTGTTAAAAATGAATACAGGTGTGGATGTAAAAAATAATGTAAGTTGCTCAGTGGTACTCACTACCTTTTGCCATTACAAGTTAACTGTTTCATGTGCAGTCAATAATATTTATAACTAACCTCACAAAAAAGTTCTTTATAATGTTCAAGCACTGCAAAGCAAATAATTTGGCTTTTGAACACAAACCACCAGTCGACTAATTTGCTTCATGATTTAAATTTTTGAACAGTTCCATTTAAAACAACAATATTATATTCCATTACAACTGGGGAAAACAATGGCATTTAATTTTGTTTAATGCACTTCTTACTGCATGTTTAATTGGGAAATAATTTGATTTGCCAGGATGCATTTTAAGTGCAAGTACTGCAAAACAAAATAATAATTTATATGTAGGGGACAAACATCCGATTAAGTGAAATAATACTGTGCTTCAGAAAATCTGCCAAATAAACCTACCTTTACTTTTTTTCAGATACTCTTGTAATATTTCATGGGGACCATTATTCAGCCTTTTGCGGAGTTTATTTCTTCTTTCTTTTAACTGATCAACTACCAGGTTGAGAAATTCAAAAGACCAAAAATTATGAATAAAATTACAATAAAATAATAGTAGAATGCCCAGAACAAGTGGCTGCGAGATCTACCAGTAAGTACTTAAAACTCCACTGCTTTTTTTGGAGGGATAGGAATTTTCTTTTCCAATAGGGTGAGGAGGTAGGTGCTAAAGCACTTTAAGAAGCAGTGACAGTCCATCATTCATTCAAATTTCGTCTGGAACAAGTAATCAATTACAGCAGTAAAGCTTAATTATGCAAACATAAGAAAAACTCGCCAAAAAGCGATCATCATCTGATGAACTTGTGGGCAGCTCAAGTTCAAAATATATCTTAGCTATGAAAAATATTCACTATTCAGAACTTGCTTGAGCTCCTTTGTCTAATCCTTTACATTTCCTACCTTTCAGCTTTCTCTTGGAGCCTTTGAAGTTCGTACAACGAGCCTTCAACTTCTCCAGGTTGCTTTGTTATGGTGGCCGCCATGTTGGACGGTTCTATTTGTTCCCAAGTTCGCGGAAGTTCGCGCGCTTTTTAAATTCGTCCCCAATGCGCACTCACAACTGCGCGAGGGTGGGAAGTTTCGGGTCGTCAGCGTGCTTTCCAACGAATAACTTGAATAGTTGCAACATAATACACTGGAGAAAAAATTCCTAGCTTTAGGCTCTACTAAATCAGTCTAGTCCAGATCACTGGTTACATCAATTCCCGGCCCTCTCTCACTCCCTAGCCTGCGTGCAGACGATAACTAAACCAGAGTTTAATTTCGTCTGCGCGCAGGCTATCACTCCCGCGCCCTCTGAGATCTACATGTAGTCAGACCAGAGCAGAGTCATGGGCTCCTGGTCTGGAGAAGAGCGCGTAGAACAGAGGTTTTCAGGCGAGTGACGGCAAGCGCTAGGCAGCGTGGAATACCAAGCAGACACTCGAGACGGAAGGGAGGAGAAAAATATTTGGTGTCGTGCCCCTCCCGCCGCACATTGCCAAAAGCCGAGGGGTGAAATCGAGTCTAAAACCAAGGTAGCTGCACGTCTCGCTCGCTCGCCTGAAAACGCCTTTTTCCGTCACAAGTTCAATCCATAGTAAACAAGAAAAGCTCAAATTTTTCTCTCCAGTGATGGAACAAAAATTGATGATGTTTCAAGCTTAATATTTTTGCAGTTTGGAAGCTGTGATGTTGCCACAAACCCTCTTTGTATACTAGTTAGTATTAATCTCCCAAATATTCCAACCCCGCCTCCTTAATGATCGCTTGCCCCAACTAATCGCTGCTCACTTGACATCAAACAAAATAAGCCTTTCTAACAGAGGGACGGCCGTTTTAAAATCAATTTGCGATGGCCAAGTTGCCAGAGGTCACTAAATTGCATAAACCGTTCTTAAAATAGGAGGGCTCTTGTGTAGTACTCACAAGACCCAGCCCAAATGTCTTACTAAAATTTGCCCATGTTCGACGAAATCCTTATTGCAGTCGGACGTGAAGACCGATAAGATCAAATGCTTAAGATTGCAGCCAATTTAGTTATTCAAAGTCAACATAATTTATGCCTGAAAAGTAGCTTGGAAACTTGAATAAGTTATGCGCTTGGCTTGATGTACGTGAGCACCCCCTATCACATGCAAGCTGAAGACTTCAGAATTCAAAAAAACTCTACATTACACGAATATAATACAGTAATTTTGTTCTCGAAACACAGACATAAACCCATCAATAAATTGCTTCAGTTGGGTGGAAAATACTTTATTAAATACAAATTCATCTGTTAAAATAGCCTTTATATATGAAAATGATTACAAATGTACGCATAATTATCATCTTTGCATTTTAGTATTCCCAATCATCTGTTAGAAAAAGTGTCTGAAGAGGTTTCCTTAAATTGAGATATCTCGTTACTACTAAATTTCTATATTAACATGATGAAAAATGCTCCACCTGGACGGTTTCCTCTATTACTCACATGAATTTTCTAACCAAGGCATCAGACTATTCTGTGCTTTGACTGGCTTCTCGATGCACCGAATTATTATTTGCGGCGTACAGAGTACTTCACTCGGAAGCCTTTCGTATAACTATATTAGTAAGCCAGGATATAACTGCATCTAAGAGCCTGGTGATAAGAAAATCAGGAGAAGAGGAAAAGAGGAAAAGAATATCGGAAATCTTCGAGTTCGAATGATGGAATAACGAACACGCCATTACTCCTCTTCAACCCCGAAAAAAAAAAAAAAAGCCTGAAGGAAAGGTTTGAACAGCCTTTGTCAAGAGTGGAGAAAGTTCTGCGTGCTTTTGGGCTGTCCAAATCTTGCGCCACAGGCTTTCCGTTCCCGCTCTTGCAAGGTTGCCAATCTTTAGAGCCGAAAAAAAAAAAATGAAGGCTTATCCCTGACCTTAACACCATAAAAACTATTTCACTGGTCTTGCACCTCCCATTCTTAGCTTCTTTAGCAGACCTTACAACTACTGTCGATCTCTTCACGTCTTCACGAAACTTGTTCGTCACTAACTATGGAATGTCATTCCGTCATGAAACCCTAAAAATAGATTCCCGGACTTTTCAGAAAACTTGAAGAATGAACTAAGTTTTTCTCTGACTGTTCCCTGGCAATCCTGGGCGGGAATCTGCGACAAGAGTAACCTCTAGAAACCTGAATCGCAGTTATCAGTCTGTAATCTCGCTAAGTAATGGCCCGCGTTAAGCTCCCATTCCTTGCTGTCTCCTACACCTTACACCTAACCAGTAAAACTGTTTTTACAGATCTTTGGGTTTAAGCAAAAAAGCAGAGTTCTACTCCTTAAGAATAATTGTGAGTCACAAATGTGTTTGTTTGTAATACATTACTGATTTGCATAGTATTGAATACCCTTCTTTTGTAAATGACATAAATTTGCTATTTATAAACAATATCTCTTCTCAGTGAAGCTATATTTGAAATTTTACTCTTGATAATGGCATGTCCGCTGTTACTGTTAATAAATAAATGTCCTTTTCTACGCTATAACTAAACACGATTTTTTTTAGGATATGTTCAGTATACGTTCACTTCAATTTATCATTAACTAATAAGGTTGATAGTATTATTAAACCCTCGGATTTCTATGAGCCCTGCAGAAATACTGAACGAACCTGTTTTCCGGCCGATTTCTACCAAAATGACGGCCTACGTTTTAACTGACTCAAAACAAAATATATCCAAATAAGAACGTGTGAGTTACATTCAAGCGATATTTATACTCACGCGTCGACTTTGTTTCTTTGTACTTCCGCGAATGCTTATGTTACGGCCAGTTTTATGAGTCAAAAAAAGGAATCAACTGAATTGCCAATTTCGCACCATCAATGTCGAGATTTATGCCAAGCAAGCCTTGCATACATGTTGCTTGAGTTGCTTCGCTAAATTGCTGAGCCTTTCGTTTCGCAACTTCTTCAACAATATAAACTTATGTTATTATTCACAGATATTTCAAGTACAAAAAACGTTTATAAGTCCTGCAACAGTCTTTTATAGCGTTACGATGTATAGCACGAAGGATGTCGTGCTGTAAACGTGGTGTCACCGCGTCGCCGTCGTGTTAGAAGATGATAAATTGGGCCGCTCATTCGCTGAATTAGCAGACCACGTGACTCACTTGATTAACACAAAATGCGAGGCGCCTTTATTCACACTACCTACGGTCCAAGTAGACCGGTTTCTCTGCTCCATTAGTTTGGATTTTCACTACAGATCTATTAGCTGTGCTCTCTTCAGCCTTTTATTACTAAAGTACCACTTGGATTAAGTCTGAGGGCTCGCGACTAAAAGCCACGTCAATATTCAGCACCATTCCTCCGGCTCACTGCAAAAAAAGGAAAAAGGATTTAATTATTTATTATTCATTTCAAATATCAGCATTGGAGAGTGGCTCACCGATTCTTATCCGCTCTAACAATTTAGAACGCTCACTTCATATCAACCTTACAATTATTGTAAAAACAAAGCACACATATCTACCTCAACTCAGAGCTCAGGTAAAACTGTAGCAAACGAGGAGGAAAAAGGTGCCCTCTTGCGAACGTGCTCGCCCAAATTGTAACCTTTTTTCTGCGCGCGGCTTGTCTTATCTTTCAGACTTACAGTCTGAATCAATTGTTTTCGCTAACCCCCATGGGCTCTTGGCTCGTCTAGTAAAGCCCGCTTTTCGACAATATAGGAAAAGGAAATATAAAACTTCAGATCCCTTTCTTGTTTTTCCATGGGCCAATGTGACCTAATTTAATAACCAGTACATACTTTTGCGCAAGTGAGGTGTTGATCACGTGCAAAAGGGTGGGGTCGCGGTCTCTGAGCATACTCAGCAACTGGTTTAGATATATTCTGTTCTGCTCATGTTCCTCAAGTTTAGCCTCCATGTCTTTCACTGCTTCAGTCTGTAAGAAAATGGGAAGAAGAACGTTTTTTGGGCGAAGCATTTCTTCAAAAAGCAGAATAACTATGCATAAAAATGATAATAATGATGATGATGGTGATGATGATGATGACGATGACAATTAAAACCCCATTTGCGTAAACACAAAGCCAAAAGTTTTCATTACGGCTCAAATGCATAATTTGGTCAAATGTCAGCTAAGTTAATTGCACAAAACACAGAATCGAATTATGGAAGGCATAAAAAATTTTTAATAGTACCGGTAGCCAAGCAGGAGGACGTGTGAAGAATGCAAAGCGAGGTAAAACAGACAGATGGTTTCGCGGGAGACCATGCAAGAAACGATCGACTAGGAAACACAAACTACGAGAAGCCCCAAAACGGGGTGAAAATACAACTGTTTTGCTTAGTCTGACTGGCTTACCAAAGTGTTAATCTTGTTTTCAGCCTCTTTCAACTTTTTGTCCTTCTGACGGGCAATGGTCTCGGCAGCGTTCACTTGCTTGCTCAAATACTGCGAAGAAATAATGTACAAGTACGGTCTTTCAGTTATTCTTGTAATAAAATAAAAGTCTGCAAAACAAACATAACACTGCCGGGGCCAAAAGGTGCACCTGAAATCGAGATTGGTTGTGAAATTAAAAAATGAACATTGTGGGCCGAGATAGGGTTTCCAACTCAACACAATGCAAGTGTTATCGGGCTTGGACCATTTTTTTTCAAACTCAATTGCTGCGAGAAAAGTTCTAAGTTTTTACAAAGATAGCACAGAAATGGCGTGACGGCGTAACCCCTTTCGGGAAGCACTCAGTCGTGTTGACTGCACTATCTGTTTAACAAAGCTATGCAAGGGAGATGCCCGATTGTTACGATTATTAAACGAACATTCTAACATCGACCGCTGCCGGCCGACTGTTACAATGGTTACTTACACTCTCCACATCTCTCAGTTCTTTATATTTCTGTTTAAAAGACTCATTCTCTTTCGCTTCTGCCGCCATCTTGGCTAAAGCAGACTTCAATTCATTGATTTCTTTCGTCCTTTCCACAAGAAAGATGTTTTCGAGTTTTAAATCTTCCA